GAATTAACGAGATTGATATTACCTGCCAGTATCTGGCTACACAGGTGAGGGTGGAGGAAACTTGCCACGCCAGCGGGGTCACGGTGCTGCGGTGGATCAGCTGTGACGTCACTCTAGGCGGAGACAGCGGACTGAACCCGGAGTTGTACAGCAGGTCACGGACGCTGAGGATCCTGGATCAGGGCTTGAACAGAGTTCATGATGAGTAGAGGAGAGACTGGTGCCTAGCGGAAAGTCAAGGACGGGAGATGAGTTGTAAGGACGCTGGAGCTGGATGAAGGTGGTGAACCTCGGCTGTTTCAGGAGAAGCTGGCACTGGTGGACCGACGGAATGGGCGGAGCTGGGACGCTCTACGCTTCCGATGTGGATTTGAAGTATACTGGTGACGCCGAGGCAGTTCAAAAGTTTGTTGGACTTACGTCACGTGAGGCTCTTCCTGATTTTTACTTCTGAGGATGATGAAGGCGATTTCCGGAGTAATAGCGTTAAAACAACACTTCACATTTAAGACATGTCATCGGCAACTTCTGCAGGTTGGCCCGCTTTGGTTTGAACGCTGCGATCCACGTTGAAGACGGATCGGCCCGCCCGGGCACGATTACGGTAAGAACAAATAAAACAGTTTTACATAATCTGTGTGAAGGTTCTCTGAGACGAGGTGAACTGCAGCGAGATTTGACGATTTGCAGAGGCTGGAGTAGCAGCGATGTGGTGAGCGTGAAGCGGGCAGAATGAATGAACGCTGCCTCAGTTATAAAGCACGCTAAGTGAGTGGGCTGGACTTCAACGCTGACGATTGGACAGGAGGGGCCATGTGACATCCTGACTGCGTGCCTGTCTGAACTAACGCAAAGCTCTATTCATCTGTAATCTAATGAGAGAAACCCAATATAAGATGCTGCACAGATCACATATAACACCATCCATTCTTAATAAGATCGACAAGTCCTCTCCTCTCTGCATTAAATGCAAACGGACTGTTGGAACATACATCCACTGTTTCTGGGAGTGTCCTTTGATTTCAAGGTTTTGGAGTAATGTAGCCCAAGAATTGGGGAAAATTTTCTCACTTAAATTTACAAAGGTTTCAGGTCTCTTCATATTAGACCTACCTTCAAAAACATTGTCTGTTACGATTAGTAGCAGAACTCAGGCGCAGACAACGAAACACAGCAGACAGATATCAGTACAAGAGCTTTAATGAATACACAGGTTATCTACAACAACAGAATATACTCAGGACCATTACCAGGAAACAATCTGGCTAGGAACAGCAAACTAACCAAACATTAGGAGAAGCTTAGAAACTAGGGCTGATTAAAGTACAAACAATATTGTATTCTGCGGCAAGACGCACATCAGGATTACCAAATAACGAACGACTCCGACTAACTCATCTTGTGGCGAAACCCAC